TTGTTTCATCTACCCACTTATTACTCAAACCTCTGTCTGTCTTTGTTACTTCACACTTGCCGTGTTTATTGTAAATTGTCATACAAAGTTGCAGTGACAAGTTTGGTGTGATTTGCAATATATATCTAATATGAATAAAAAATTTATTAACAGGTGGTCTGTAGCAGTCCTGGGAACCCTGAAAGCCACAAATAGAGCGCGAGGGTTCTAGTTTTTAGATTATTGTACATGAAATGTTTGTTCCGAACTGAGTTTTCAGTTCTGACTGCATCCAATTCAGGGTAATGCAGTGATGGACTGCAGGGTTTTATTTTCCCTCCATTAGCAGCATTTGATGACATCATTAGAAAGGGCCTGAGCCAATCTGGGTTTGTTGTCGGTGAGCAGCGGCGGCGGCAGCACGGTGTAAAGCGTTGCATCAGACTTGGAGCTTCAGAACTGCTCAGGCTCTGTGAGGCCACAGCAGTGTTTATGGAGCCGGGCTGGAGATTAGGATGACTGCATACACACTCTCTCTGTCTCTCTCTCTCTTTCTGTTTCTATTTCCAATGCAGGCTCTCCTCTCAGACTGCTCACCATAAACGCTCACTGCTCCCCTCCTCTTTTTAAGGGGGTCCCCTTATCGAAAGCCTGGAGACTGGAGCAGCGACACTATCTACAGATGTGGGGAGGATGTGTGTGTGTGAGCCACAGAAAGAGAGATTGAAGTGCTGGCGGCTGCCTTGAAAAGGGTCAGAGCGTCAGATATGGCTGTCGCCAGCGCCGTCATGGCTTGGAAACTCCAGCACAACCCAACAAGGCACCATGGGAGTCTTATCGCAACACAGCACCAATATTCACTAAAGCTGCTGAAACATGTTTTTCGGGTGATGACCTCACTGAGGCAGAATGTCTCAGATTCACAGGAACAACGAGAAATGATGAGGGTTTGAATTTTATCTAATTCTTTCGTGTCAAAATCTCCCAATTTTCATCTGTGAAGGTTTCGCATGACAGATCAGAGCAGAGCCCCACTAGACAGGTCATACATGTTTAGAGTATCACACGAGGTTATGTACATATACAGTACACCATCTGTGTGTGTGTGTGTGTGTGTGTGATAAGGAGAAGGGTGATGGCGCCATGTTCATCCTCCTCTCTGCAGCACTGCAGTATTTCCCATGCTGTCCACATCTTTAATGAGAGTGTTTTTGGTGTTTGTGCATGTGTGTGTGTGTGTGAGAGAGAGATTTTAAGCTAAGTGGCTAAGTCTCTGTTGACACCTTCAAAAAGCTGCAGAAAGCTCATTTAATCAAACTGGCCTTTATTTAACTTTCTGTGGTTTTCCAAATGTGTGTTTTATTTTCCGATTGACTTTTTGATTTAATTCTACTTTTGTGGAGCACTTTGTGACTTTGCTCTGTGGAAGGTGTTTTACGATATACATTTTGTCTGCACACTGAATGAACTTACTTCTTGTTTCCCTCTCAGCCCAGCCAGTGTGGTTCTGTAAGTTTTTGTGTGTGTGTGATGCCAAGCCTATCTGTTTGTGTCTCCAGAGAGGAGCATTCTGATACTATTGTTAGTGAAATCTAATCTCTGTGTTGTATTAGGTTGGGGATTGGAAGGGTAGTGTGTGTGTGTGTGTGTGTGTGTG